TGTGGTAATCTTGCATTTTGCCTTCGGGAGCTGGAAGCGAACACTGCCGGTGAAGACAATCATGTGCACAAGCCTTTTATACGAAATCTTGGCTGAGGAGTCGACCAAGGCGACCTCGAATGGGCCTTCGAGCTTCTTTGTGATGTGGTTGAGACTTGCCGAATCAGAAGCAGGAATGAGTACTGCAAGATTGTCAGTCGAACCGATCTTAGCAATCTCGGCAAGGTGTGATTTCGTGCTGAGCACTATGCCCCCACGACTGGGCCCAAGCTGAAGCCTGTGTGTCTGACTAAGGGCCTTGTCATCTTTGTCGACAAAAGGGAGCGGGTCCTGGATGGTGAGGTCTTCCCACTTTGACTGAGCGGGGCGAGGAATCTTCTTGGACCATGGGTCCCCCCCAGCCCATGGATCAGGAGGCTGGACCGAGGGTTGACTCGGCTTTGCTGCTTGGGCAGCTGGCATGGCACGCTGAGCATCTTGCATTTCCTGATCGGAGCTGACAGCCCCAGCAGCAACTGCATGGGCCGGAAAACGACCCTCGAGGATGCGAACCAGGAACCAATTGCGGATATTGATGGCAAAATTGAGAAATTCAGGAGGAACACCAGCTTGGAGCCATTCAAATGTTGCCTCATTCCGGACGTCCTGAATCTGCTCTGCTAAATCATGAGTGACAAGCAACCGAATCTGGGGGTCTCCAACTGGCCCAATGTTGATCTGTGCACGCCGTAGCATTCTGAACAGAATTGCAAATCCACACATGCCTTCCGGATCCCACTGCTCAAGGAAGTGGACATGCAGGATGGTCGGGTCAACTTCCGCACCTCGCACCAGGACTTCAATAACCGGCTGGATCAGGTGCCGCCACGCCGGTGGGGTGGTGACATAAAGAGCAATGCCCTGATGGTATTGGGATAGCTCCACATGGATCCAATGGTTGTGCATTGCAATGAACCAGCTGATGTGCCGATAAGATCGGTATTCAGGCTGGAGATTGTTCATAAACCGGAGCTCGCGAGTGTGGTGATTCCATGACGCTGGGGCACAGAATAATGTGTTTGGATGCTGCCATCGAAGGATCTCAAGGGCATAGTCGATCTCATCAGAAATGGCCCATCCAGGGAACTGACTGAACAGTGCCAATCTCACACGGATCCGGTGCAGCAGGTCAAATGATTGTTGCTGGATGGTGGCAACTGACTGGGCAGTATTCACCCGCTGAGTGGGCTGTGGTATGGCCACCTGCAAGGGCACTTGCCGAACTGGTTGGCCAAGGCTCTCTCTTCGGGCCAGGAACCATAGGAAGTTCTTCCTGAGACGATGTGCAATATAGCCCATTGGGTGTGGCATGCCATTTTCCCTCCAGTCTTCAACAGAGCACTGTAAGCACATGTCAACAGTCTGCGAATACTGATCCGGGAGATGATACTGTCGTGATTGGTCAGGGATGTCATCCTGAAGGCCAAGAGCAGTGTACCATCTCTGTAGCAGTGCCCACCCACATAGATGAGGGACGAAAGCTGTTTGTTCTGTCTGAACTTCAATCCTGTGCGGAGCAATGTCAAGAAGTCTGGCTATCATAAAGGTAGCTCGCGTGACGAGATGATCAGGCATTTGGATCATAACCACTCTGGATTGATCAGCATGGCGATGGATTTCACATGCAGCCCAATGGTTTCCAACCAAAATCGGCAACACATTGACAGCGTTATTGGAAATCTGGATCTCCTGCCCCTCATCTTCAAAATCAGCTTGCGCGGGATCCCACAGAACCGGTGGCGTGAAGAGATATTGCCGCTGACTCCACTGGAGCTGTTGAGTCATAGCCAACATTTCGTCGGTGGCAAGCCACCCTTGCGTGTTGCACATGAACTCGGCTCTTTGATTGAATGTGGCCCCTTGACTGAGTCGTGCTGGTGGGCCAGCAGCCTCATGGTGGCCACCTGCAAGGACATCGGATTTTGGTGTCAACACCTGAATCTCATGGACCTCCCATCGGCCTGTATGTGGTTGAGACATGGCAAAATGATCACAACGTTGCACAAAGGATTGACTGGCACCTTCTGGATCTCCGCACTGGACCAAATGGAAAGCTCCTGTTGGCAGCTGAACCACACGCAAATGCTCTACTTGTTGGCAACAAATAACACACCAAACAGCAGTAGCCGGTGATGAAATCTCGTGTTGCATCTGGATCAAATTGCCACGCATAATATCCCTGACAGCAATGCCGGCCTTCTCAATTTGTTGGGCTGAGCCCCAACATTGGAAATGAAAGCCATGTTGAGGGTGAAGCACAATCAATGTTGCTTGCTGCGTGTCATTGCATTGGCAAAAACCACCACAGAGGTCAGACAGCTGGAGGAACCAATTTGATTGAATGATATCCTCAAACTGGGTCGTTTCAGTGATGTGAATATCAGGCTCCAGCACACGGCACGGGGCCGTGGGGGAGATACTGATAATCTCAATCTCGGGCTCAGTCTCGAATGTGCACTTCCCAACAACTTTCGCAGCAAGAACAATGTCCCACTCCTTGGATCGAGAGGCCAACAACCCAACAGGCAAAGTCATGCTTGCTCGCGTGTCATCTGCTCGGAAGTAGATCTGGGCAAGAAGCTCGGGAGGACCATTCCAGCATCGAGGGAAGCAATCTCCAATGATGACCTCAGCTGAGAACACAAGATTGAAATCATGGTTACCTATCGAACCAGTGCATCGAAGAAATGGGCCCTTGGCATGGATATGGGCGAAATCCATGATGTGACATGCTCGGCACGAATCAAGTGAACTGCACCCTGATGCTCAAACAGGACAGCATTGTCGGCATGAAGTCGAAGAGGCCATGCTTTTCGAATGATGTGCAACGGATCAACATTAATTTGTCCTACTGCATGCAATGCAATGCCAAGTGCAAGCAATGCATGAGGCACTGAGATGGCGTTATCAAGTACCCTGAATGCTTCGGCAACCTTGGTTGGTAAGACAAGATCAGTGATCGTTCCAAACAACGCACAAAAGAGGCCCGGATCGAAGAACTCAAAACCCTCTGAGGAGTGCCGGAGGAACGTATATAGGCCTCTCTGCGCAACATGCGCTGAACCAAGTTGATGCTGCACTGTGTAGGTGGCACACAAGGTCGGCAAGGGCTTGGATGAAGCCGGGACACGTGCCCACAGGGTGGACTGCTTCTCACTTAACCTTAGATTTCTTTGTGTCCCATTTGGAAGTAACTGAGGATCATCATAGATTGCAGCTTCTGATGGTGAAAGGACAAGTTGTGACCGCCAAATACTGGGAACCCGAAACTTGTTGATCTGATCATCCCAAGGAGTTCGGGGGATGCTTTTCAACGGGAAGTTGAACCCGATAAACTGAGCGCCCACGTCGGCACGACACCAAACTGCCAGCCACCTGGTCCTCGAATGGTCAGCAATGGCATGCATTGGGGTGATCTGCATCCAAATTTTCTTGAAACCAGCTGCATGAATGATCGTTTCAAGCAGTTGAAAATGGGGGTGCTCAACAATATCATCGGAGCACTCCCCCACAATGCACACTGGTTGAAGAACTATGGCGAGCTCCACAGCTTCAATGAACGACCAGCCATTGGGATCAGCTAACCCCAAATGCTTACCTCCACGGGACCACGATTGACATGGAGGGGACATCGTCATGCCCATGTTGGCCTGCACCCTCACCGTGTTCAGCATTGACCAGTCGGATACTGGTCCATGGATGCCAACGAATCGAGAGGTCGGCCACTTGGTCGTCCACGGAATAGGACACTTGTGGGGCATGAGGCCTCGGCGGGCAGACCAAATTTGCATCACCTGTTCATTAGCGTCAACTTCGAACTCTTGTCCAATGCAGAAACTGTCCAGCTTGGAACCGATGAACTCTGTTGCGTGCGTCCACCCTCCAAAACCACCTGCAAAGGCATGCATAAAGTTCCATGGCATACATCGATCAAACTCCGCTCTGAATGTGATCACAGCATCTTCGTGGAAGCACACATGTTCACTAGATTCACTGGCAGTGCTGCCAGCACACGTGATAACCACACCCTTGGCAAGCCGAATGGATCTGCTCGACAGGTGTGGCATGGTCACAACAACATGTGATGTATGTCCAGCAGCGAGGCCAAAACCCAGGTAAGGAGTAAAAGGGGCCACCAACAACTCAATGTCATCGAATCGAACGTCGACCACCTCTCCCACCAACACAGTCCTGGATCCCAGCTTCAAGAAAGGGTCTCCAGCAATGAAGGGAGTCAGGGCATCATGTACGGACCTTCGCAGCGGGTCACATAAAATGCGATCTGCAGTGGCAATCGCAGCTTCAACCGCCATGGCACCAAATCAACAAGCGGAGCAAGTGACTCAATTGGCCACGAAACCTCAGGGTGAGGCACCTACCGAGGTGCCTCTGATGGACACCGACCCGTGCCTGGGAGGCACGCTACCGGCCCCGGGCGCCCGTCCGCCCCAGCTTTTAGGGCTTTGAACCCCAGCAGCTGTTCTCACCCTTTACATGACTGAAGAGTCCAATCCCAGCTATCCTTGGTCAGTCCTGCTTAAGAGAGGTTCGTATCTATCAATCAACCACTGGAGGACGTAACCATATACATGTCTTGAGAATCTTCAGCCACTGCCTGGATGGTTACATGGAGTTCGATTCACCTGTCATTCGGAAGGTTATTCTGTGTGGGCGCCATCCACGTAGATATCATTTCAGGCAGTCTAAGCGAGTCCCTCTGGATCCACATACCCTCTTGATGCAGGTGATTAGGACATACCTCCTCAGAAGGTATACTTGGTGGTCCCTCTCTTCGCCCATCAATAGTCTCCAATCACCGTACCTCACAAAGGTCAGTGGCTCCAGGATCGGACTCCTTTCAAAACATGTGTGTCCCCTATCCAACGTCGGCCCAGCTCAGCTCCGCTTCCAGCTTCCCGCCCCGAAGCCCGCCCTTTCCAGCCAGCACGACCTCTGAAGAGGCCCTCGGTCCGACGAAGAATGTGGCGATCTTAGGGGATTTCAATACGCCCTCCCAACGCACCGTGCGGAGACCCAGAGTCCGACAGAAACCGAGCTCCGGTCCGCCTCCCTGCCGCCGACCTGAGCGCCGGGGTCGTGCCGCTCCGGACCTGAGCGCCGAACGGGCGAGAACGAGTTCAACGGGGACGTGGTGGCATTGGTGGGAATGGGGAACTGGTTGGGGGTTGTTCGGAGAGCTGAAGCGCCAGCGGAGAGTAGGGATAGTCTGGAAGCTCAGGGAAGCTCAAACCCAGGCTGGCTAGCCTCAAGATGCCTCAAGAAAAGAACCAACTTGTCCAAATATATCCAAATTGATCCACAATGTTGATTTTTTGATGGAGAGAAGGATGGTCAGAAAACAAATAAATCGCATCAAAGCCAGTGGTCAACCAGGCAAATCAGCCCAAGCGATGGTCGTGGCATGCTCAGAACTACTAAAAAGCACTGCAGTTCTGAACATCTTGAGCACAACAACTCCGCAGCGCTGCGTTGACTGCGACTGCGTTGACTCCGACTGCGGGGTCGACCGGCCGTCCGCTCCACGGCAGGCGACGCTCACGGAGGAGCATCGTCGGCAGGCAGAGCTGCTGGACCATCTCAGTCAGCAACGAGATCCCAAGGCGCGACCTGGGCGACGACCTACGTAGGGAGAGCACCGAGATGCGCGTAGCTTGCCGCGCGAGGACTCATGGACTGAATGGGATGACATCGTATCTTTCTTTTTTTGGGGGGTGAGGAGTGTTTCGAGAGGGACGTCATTTTTTTTGGGAGGCGGACACCGTGGGCTGAAAAACTAGAGAACACTTGGAAGATCAAGGAGATTGCATGATTGTTTTGAGAGGTGAGTTTCTTGGACGAGTTCTGCTAGACCAACGCTGGAAAGTCTGAGTGTAACTCTCCATACAAAGGTGAACTCAAAACACCTATACCTCAGTTTGGTTGGTTTTCAACAGTCGTATCCCGATGTTGACAGGAGACCATCATCTCTTGGAGAAATTGGACATGAAAACAAAGACCCTTTCGCGTGAGAATTCCGTGAGAATCCTTGACTGGGTGAGAATCCTTGACTTTAGCAGACAAAATCACATGAAACCTGACCCTGAGGCACTGGCTGTGCCTCAAAGTGTGCGCTTTTTCGCTTAGGAACTTGGGATGACTCTCAGCTCACATGGTCTTACCTTCGGTCGACCGCTCGACCACTCGGTCGACCGCCCAGTCACCCATGACGCGAACCACGTCGCCAGGCACTTCGACATTTCCTTCCAAGGGACTCACCGCGAATTCCGGAGGACCCAGGGACGGGCTCGACACTGAGCGCGTCGTTGCGACAGGGGAATTCTGGCGACCTCAGCACCTTTCCAGGAAGCCACTGAGGAGGATACAATGAACACATTGAAAAACCTCATAGTGGTAGTGGGTGCCCACCCCAAACATAGACGATCTACGACTAATTCACTAACACCTGAGCTTGTCTCTTGGCATCTCTTGGCTTCTCCGCCTGCACTCATGAGGAGATGACCGCCTTGGGCTTTGCTGAGAAGCTCGGCTACAGGCAGTGCCCACATGACATCGCCTCCATTCCGGGTCCCAAAGCAGACTCAAAGCAAAGCATGCTCCAAGTCGTCAGACTCAAAGCATTGCTTTTGTTGCGCAGGCATGCGTGGCAGGCGCTTGATGTTCCTCATGCACCTTACTACAGCATCTTGGCATGTGGAATGTTTCTTGCACTTTGGGGGTGCTACAAGGTTCATCAAGTTTTTGGAGTTTCGGGTACATAACCCCAGTGTTGAGGCGGAATCCATCTAATCTTTCCCAAACTTGGAAGATCTTTGATATGCATGGACTGAAAAGGAGTGAAGAGTGTTCATGAACAAACATGTTCCGAACATTTCCGAACTAAATTACAAAACAATTTTCACATGCATTGACGTTTCACAAGTTACGTATTTTGATGTAATATTGTATATTATACTATTACTTTAACATGTCGCAAGTGTAGAGTTGTACATTCTGTGAATTTACTTTACACAAAACATGAATTCAATTTTCTATTTTGGGATCACCACCTGCTGGACTTTGTCCTTCTTTGAGGCTGAGAAAACTGGGTTTTGGAAAGACGCGAGACGAAGACGCAGAGCAGCGTGAAACTCTTTCCAACGAAAGATGAAGTCGAGAAAGATGAGACCTAAGTCCGACGAAAGTCCAACAGGAAGTCCTTTCAGGTCCTTTTCCATGCACAGTTCGGAGCCTTTCTTCCAAAAGATGAAGTCACTTTTCTTCGGATCGTTGGGTGATCGGACGAGATCGAAGTGATATTTTCCGCTCGTTCCGGTGTCCCCACCGCGCTCGGCAGGGCGGTGTCCCGCTCGGCAGCAACGAGTCGGGACGGTGGGACACCCGTGATTCGCCGTTCGACACACGGTGACCCGACATGACACGCCTGAGGCCGCCTGAGGCCGACATGGAATCAACTTGAACCAATTCTTGATCACTGCCCAAAGCATGATAATTATTTGGCCTTCCGCGAGAGCAGTTTCAGAGTTTTGAGCACCAGTTCTGAACAATTTGTCTAATATATAAATATAAGACATCACCTGGTTGCAGCTGGATATAGCAGCAGTAGTAGCAGAAGTAGGAATAGAAGTAGTATATAGCGGTGGCAACTATCGCAGTAGGAGGAGTAGCAGCAGCTGCTAGTGCCCTTGGCCCTTCCCAAGCCGCCCAATGGTCCTCGCCATTCTTTCATTCAGAGGTCATTGGAGTGGACAGCTGATTGATCACTGCCTTCTGAGCCTCGGCGTATCCGCACACGACGTCGGTGATCATCCAGCTGGGTGGGCTTTCAGGGGGGGGATGGCGATTTGAGGTGTTTCGCAGTAAAGCAGGAAGGGTCAAAGAGGATCACTTTTTCTTGAAGAAAGGCCTGCTTCACTAGCCATCATCATCCACATTCATCCACTGCTACCAGTATAATTAATAGCATGGATCCAAGATTTAGGACATGTTCAGGAATAGACAATCTGAGAAACCCCCGATTCTTGGTCTGGGGCTGCAAGTCCTGTCTCCGGCCTTCAACATCGCAGGCTTTCAGCGACGATGTTGGGTCGAATTAGCTCCCATACGCTCCCGAATGTCAGCTGTACAGGGCGCATGAGACAACCCTCCAAGTTGGGGGGAAATGGCACTAAAGTGCCGGCCGGGAATCCATGCTATGCTGTATTCACCCATAGATTGCTGGTAAAAGCCGAGGTATGCTGGTACCCCCTTCATACCCAGTGTCACAGTACACTAAGAGGCGCGTATGGGCTTTGCTTGTCGCACATTGGATGCGATGCCCGCACGTGGTGTTACCAATGGTATGCTGGGAACGAAAGACCCAACCGAACGCCAAGCCGTTTCGATCTCGGGACCCGACGCTGAGGAAGACCCACCGAAGGTGCGACGGCGCACGGGGCGGGGTATCTGCGCGAAGGGGGTTCTTGGGCATGGGGCGCTCGAGTCGATCGGGTGCGACCGCGTCGATCCTGCAGGAGAAACGAAGTCCTTTCGGAAGCTTGAAGGCATCCTGGACTCCAAGTCCTCCAAGCTTCGAAGGTATGACTGGACCCTGGGACTTGGCACCTACCCCAGTCCCCACCTTTTCAGAAGGTAATTACTTGAAGCTGTTTTGGGACGGTGCTCCGTCTTCTGTTTTTGGTCAACAGCCAACAGACCTTCTTATATAGCTGAATGCTCACGCCGTACATTTGAATGGCTTGTGATGGAGTGGATTTCCAAAGAAACACTATAAAACTAAGACAAAATCACTATATGAGTTCTTCCCTCACAGGAGATCGCACAACTAACACCTTCCTTACGGGGGTCTCCTCCCTACACTACTCGTGGATATCCATTGTCCACACTGCAAATATTTTCAGGTCAACATATGTACTTGTACATCTGGATCTTCGTCCTTTCTTGGCAATTCGTCCAGCTTTTTCACAAGCACAGCTGGTCGACCAGCTGCTAAGCTTTCCCGGCGTGCCGACGGCAGGCTGCGCGTGACCTATGTGGGAGTTTACCATGATAGTGCGAGCGATCACCTCCCTTTGGTGATTGATTTTGAGCTGGTCTGATCCGAGGAGCTCACATCACCCGGCCGCGGCCGGCCGGCCCATGGGCTGAAACACAGCGGCTGAAATGCATCGATCGATTGGAACATCGTACCGTGATTCATACCAGGACCCGACACCGTGGGGTGTCTATTTATAGCCCCTATAAGGCCCTTATTCGGGGTGTCCATTAACCACCCCTTTTGGGGGGTCAAGGTATAGAACACTGAAAATCGTGGCAGATGTTGTTTGGTGGCGCTTGATTTGCATATTGTTGTTGGGGGTGGTGATGTTCATGCCTCGTTGTGAAAGCCGAAAGAATCAGATGAAGGACTGGTGTGGGTGTTCCCCAAAACAGCTGGTCAGATGTAGCCTCCATTCTTGGGTTAAGCTGGATGCTCAAGCAATCACCCAAAACCACATCTGTTCCACCATCGTCAAGTAAATCGACCATAAACACTTTTTAAAGAAAGGTATCATCACACGGCGGACCTTTCAGACCTTTCTTGTTCAGATGACAAAGGCCTCGTAATGCCGAACTTTTTTTTTCGATTCGGAAGTCCCTGTTTCAGGTCATTGTGTTCCTGATTTCACCAAAGGAAAACAGTGGTGAATTCAAGTGATTTCAAGTGAACCAGTTTGTCTTGGAGATCAAAAGACAAAGACTAGGACGTCGTGGTTTTGCAGATGGGTTCTTTCTTACGGACAGCAAGAACATGCTGGTAAAGAGTTGGGAAAGCAGTTTCTGAGGTCAATGTATGATACACGGTACATGTACCGTAGAATTTATAGTGCAATGTAACACTAAGAACCAGCTTCTTCAATTCGTGACCTTCCGAAGGTTCCATCCGGTGACCCTACTCGGAGGCTTATATAAGTGACCTCAAACCAACCAGGTGATCAAGTACGGTCACGAACTGAAGAACCAGGAATCTATCGAATCTATCGTGTTGTTTGTTGCGTCCATCTGGAGAGTTGACCTCAGCACCCCAAAAAGTCACAAATGAATCAGAGACAGTCAGACTGAGGGTTCTGACGTCGACTTCTGCCATCGATGCGAGAACGTTGCTCAAGTCGAGCTGCTTCGATTTCTTCTTAGGTATGAAATGAGTCAAGTGGCTTTCAACCCTTCAAAGACTCTGGAAGACTCAGAAGGCATGTGTTTTTACACTCTGACTCATGTTCCGGTTGGCCCCGCTCATTCCATGCGGAAAGCATGGACCCTGGCTCCGTGTCTGGATCGCAAAACAATAATGACGAGCTTTATTGATTGGTTCGTATTAGGGAAGCAAATGAGCTCTCTGGTGTTCTTGAATGTGTTTGATTCTTTGCGACAGCCGCAGCGGTTGCAGAAAAATCCTTGTTCATTCTGCTCCAAAAGTGAGTTGTTTTTGGGGTGGCACTTCACATGACCTCACCTCGGTCGTTGTGGCGAGACCAGTTTCTCCCTGACGACTCGTGAAAATCCGACTGAGAGGCTTGTTTGGGATCACCTGCAGGAGTGTCTCTTTCCAAGAAGATGATGTTTCTTTTATTACTCCAACCTGGACGTCAGAATAAGGGATCATTTTTCACCAGCCCCTCATACACGTCCAAAGAAGAGTTGATGTCAAGACAGATCTTTGCAGCACATCACCTCCAGCGACGTGCAGTTTGGTCGTTTCTTTCCACACCACTGTTCACGCGCAAAGACGACACAGCACACCGCGCATCCGATGTACATCCCCTCCCGCACATCGTTGCCCGTCTTGCTCGGCGAAGAATCGCCACACAGCACTGCCATGGCGAGTGGTGAGAAGTTGGAAGGGAAGCAACTGAAGGGCGGTTCGATCTCGATCCGGCCCATCCCGGCAGCTTGGCGTGACCTTTTGGGCTGACTGACTCGGCTCTGACGGCTTACTGGTCAGTAGAAGCGGCGGAACAAAGCTTTCACATGGGCAAAAAAGCCCAAACAAGCATCAGCTCGGCCCGATGGCGAGGGGACTAGCCATCAATGTGGGAATGATATCATCCCTGGGGCTCCCAGTACCTCGAAGCTTCGAAGGTATGACTGGATCCTCCTGGACCCACCCCTGTCCCACTTTCTTAGGTACGACTGGAGCCCTGTAGGGGATATATACCAGGATCTTCCAACTATGCCACAATATGCCACATCTCTACCTTTGGGCTGGTTGTTTAGATGAAAGGATTGAACAGGCAGACATTTTGCACACTTGGAAGATCCGGGTATAGCGACGTCGTGTCAAGTCCCCACCATCGGCAGATCCACAGGATCGGCAGATCCTCTGCACCAGTGACGGGAGAGAGTCGCTTCGGCCATGCGACGAGCTTCTCGTTGTGTGGTCGAAGAAAACCACAGAGCGAGGTGATACAGCGACGTGCTGGATAATGGTTTTACATACACTCTGACATCAGACATCCAAAATCCAAAATGCTGGAAAATGTTGGATACATGTTGGATACATATGTCGGAGGCCATCGCTGGAGGCCATCGCTCTTAGGTTGGATAGCTGTTGGATACAGATGTTTTGAGTCTTTTTATTTTTGCATAATGTTGGCTTATACACTGACAATGCCTCACAAATAAGGCGAAGCTGGACTCTGGACCCTGACAGTACCTCGCAGGTCCGGGTTTCGACTGTCAGCTTGCGAAGCATGGTGCTGTTGGATCCAGGGTGCCTGTCCGCCATCCGCGGACACCTAAGAGTAGTCGACTCTTGATGTCATGGCGTGCGACTGGTCGACCTCGGATGGCCATCCGATGTCGTCCCGCGGGCGGAGAAACGAACTCCGAAGCGATCCCTCCATCCGTCGATCACATCGGAATCCGTTTTTGGGGCGCCACGAAACCAGCGACCCCTCGGTGACCCACGAACCGGGCGGCCAGCGTTTTCGAAGCGATCCCAGCGTTTAACAACACTCTTCGTCTCCTTCAGGACGAATGCTGGACACGTGTCTTGGGGAATTTGGAAGCCACGGAGCTCTCGACGTGTAGCGTGAGCTGCTTGCGCTTCAGTCGACTCTCCGATCATCCAGAGTTGTGGCAAGCCTTGTTGCGCAGCGACTTTTGCGTGGCTTGGAGAGGAAGAGTGTCTACCTGGAGTCTCAAAGTACTGCGGAAAATGGGTACAAGTACCTGTTTTTCATGGAGTCATGAGTCATGTTCCATTTTCTAAGGTACTTTGGAGGGTCCAGGTATATCCAACTTATCCAACAGAGGTTTTTTTTTGTGACCTTCTTTTGCAGGACCCGTAACCTGGGGTCACATAGTCTATAGGGTTCTTCAAGCTCTGTTGGATGAGAGTTCTGAACGTGGCGTAGGGGGGGTGAAGGATGGGAACCTGGGATGGAAGACAGATTCAGATGTGGATGTGATAGGGGCTTTATGGATGGCTTGGGAACGTGGATCGTTGGCTACCAGGAGTTTATGCGCGCTCCGTTGGCCGGCTTGGTCAGGGAGGTGGACGTGCCATGATGTGTTGATATGTTTGTTTAGATCGTAGGGCCAGGTAAAAGGGCATTGAAAGATGAGGAACACAAGTCTCCCGTTTGGTAATTTACTACTTGTGGAAAGTCACCTTTTTTTTGAGTGGGGGATAGAGTGGCTGGTTACTAGGTGTAAGATTGGAAGTGAAACAAACAGTTCCACCTGATTTGGTTGGGCAGCTGGTCGACGAGTCTTCGCTTTGAGTTTGCGCATGTTTGGAGGGTTTTCGTGGGGATGAAGGGGTTGGAGTTATTTAGGAACAGAGCTGCCTTCTTTCAGGACTGACGTACCAGGTAGACGAGGTACCTCAAGAGCTCAAGCCGACTCAAGCCGTCCCGGTTGAATGATGAAAGAAATAGCTGATCATTTAAGCTCAAAGATCGTCTGTTGTTTTTTGTTTATATAATGTTTTTTTGGACTGATTGCATTGTCATCTGAGATGCTCCAAGTGTTCCAAGTTCCAACCCCCCCAGATTCCCTTATGGAATAGATCAAGCATTCCCACACCTGAGCTTCAGACCCGCCTACCCTGGACGGAAAAGAGTTCGATTCTTTCTCCGGATTCGACCGTTTTTCTGGAGCCTTCATTCTTTTTGAGGCCTCTCTGACACATCGTGCGATGCTACTCGCTTGGATGGCAATGCATCATCATTTCCATCCACGACAGTTGCTGAGCTGGGAGGAGTTCCATGAACGGCTCTTCGTTCTTCGCGGGTGGTCAAACTTGTTCAAAGCTCGCAGTGTGTTTCAGTGCCGAAAGCACCGGTTTTTCTCGTGTGAAGTGCCACGCCGCCCAGAGAGGGCCACCGGTTCTGCACAGGGCAACCAGTGGTACTTCACCCTGAAGGACCGCGAGCAAGACTGGTCAGTGGCGCTTTCTTGAGGGTTGTCAAACATGGCCAAGGGCAGAGGAAGAACCCTTCTTGATTCTCCCAGCAACCCACTGAACCTCTGAACATCTGAATGCACTTCATCCTTTCGTTGAAGCTGGGCGTTCTCAGTGGTTCAGCGTTCGAATGAGACGGCGCGTTCGCTTCGCAACCAACGCGTTCGCTTCGCCCCGTCCCGGACGACCAGGGGATGGCGGATGCGAAGGACACGAAGAAAACACGCCGGAGGTGTCCAAGAACCACTTAGTTGGAAAACGTCCGGACTTGCATATTTACACATATAGTACATTGGGGTGGGTGTTGGTGTATTTTTATGCGTGCGTGTGTGTGTGTGTGTGTGTGGGGGGGTGGTGTTCATATATGGCAGTCCAGAGTGTTTGGGTATGGGATGGGATGAGTGTGTAGCTCAAATGTTCACGGACTGAATTGAAACCACCTGGCTATACCGCCAGCTTGTTTTCCATCGCCCTTCAGGGGACGGCTCAGGGGGTTACTAAGAGCTGAAGGTCTCTTGGATTTTGACCAGAGAATTTGCTAAGCTCACAAGTAGTCTCAAAGGATTTGGCTTGAATCCAATAGGAGGTTCACTGTGAACATCTCTTCACTCCCCATCCATGACAAAGGCTCTACATCTTCAAACGTCGCGAGCATCTCTTGGATCTGGAGATTGCACGTGCGGATCTCTGCCAGCGGTACGAACAGGCGAGGGAACAGGCGCCCTAGCCGAGAACTTAATGGCTGTTTGTTCATCATTTGCTTGCACCTTTTTCTGTTTTCTGGATTAGTGAATATCTACCTGCAGTCACCAAAGGATGTATAATTACAATCAATTTCTGTAGTTTCATCACTTCTTGCCTTGACATCTTTTTTCATGAACGCACATGTGGTTGGGACGCGAGTCTCCTGTTTTTGCGGAGGATTTCTGAAAGCCTTCCTGTCAGACAGGGTTTTGGGGAACTTCGGACCTTGTTTCTGGTCGAAGATCGACCTCCTCCCCCGAAGCTCGGGTCTCGAAAGAGCCGTCGCGATCGGGTGGTGTTTTTCACCCAGGACCGGAAACAACGACGGCTTAGAGCCTTGAACTACTTCTTGGTGAGAGTCATCCATTGCCTCTTGTGCATCTCTGTGCTACTTGGACTGTGCTACAAAATGGCCAGGTGAGTGTGTTTTCAGCTATTTCCGACTGATTTTGCCATACTGATCTTCCCAGGTGAGAAGCTATCACAGAAATTCCAAGAAGATTGGTTTCTGGTTTCCCTTTCCTAAAGATCTGCTTTCTGGTCGCCCGTAACGGAAGGGGGTCTATGGAGACACGGGAGACCGAGATCGAGGTCGGACGCCTGGAAGATGGAAAAAGACCCACACCCCTGGGTTAGGGCTTACTCTCCTAAAATACCCACCCCGCATATAAATATAACTCATATATGTATAATGTATACAGTATACATAATATGTAATAAGTATGTATACACTGTTGAACCCAAGCAACGTCTTGTCTCCCCCAAAGTGTGCAGATGTCTTTGCACCGAGAGATAGTCGACAGCTTCGGCGAAGTGACCCAAGGAGGAACCACCCCCCTGAGTAGTCTTCCTGCCATCAGCCATTTATACAAAAATATGTCAGGTGAGAGCATTCCGCAGCTATTGTGGTGTGGTCTTTTTTTTCTTCGTAATCAGAGGTTTTTTTTGGTTGCTGTCCAATCTGTCCAGATATACTGTAACCCAAAATCCTTGGCTCACACTATTTGACGTGCAGGACTGGGCAGTGGGAACATCAAGCGTTTTTGGGGGGGGTTGGTGTGTCACTGAGGCTAGCAAGCAGCATTTTGCTGTGGCTCAAGTTGAAGGATGCTGTGACAATGTCGTCACTCAGCAGTCAAGATCAGATCTTTACGAGGACCACATGGACCCTGAAGAACCCGTTGTTCTTTTCACTTGTGCATATGGAAGTGGGTAGGAAAAAGACTTTAAAAAAAACCGTCCGCTGTCGGCCGGAACAAGGCGGGCGGGTTTCGGAAAAGGGGTACCCACCTCCAACACTCCTAAACTTTCCGTGCTTTTTGCACTTGATGGACAAGTCAAAGAAACACCCAAGACCTGTCTCAAGAGTCAGAGGACCGGCCCCAGAGGACCGGAGAGAAGTGATCAGAAAGCTTCGAACATCACCCTTTCAGATCGTTTTAGAGACCGGCCTGGAAAGCCAGTCCCAAGCAGAAACAACTGGTTGGAAGCCAATATGGCTTGCTTGAGAGCCTTTACATAGGAAGTGGCCTTTTGGGGAAGCATTCACTGGTTTTTGGTTGGGAGTGGGTTTCCAGGCTTAGAATGATATCTTTATGTATCAAGTGAAACACATCATATCTACCTTGAGCACCTCATATGACTCATGCAGACCGAGCTGAATGTAGATCAAAGGCCCTGAGCTTCTCGAGTTCCGAAGCCGAGCTGAAGGCGATCGAAAACGGGGAGTCCCAATTAAAGACATCCATCTTTCCGTCCCAACCACTGAGTGATGTGGATCTCAAGCTGGCAGCCCCACCTGGCAGGACTGTTTCTGCTTGGTTCGGGTCCTAGGGTCTGGGTCTTTACCACACCTAATGTCGGAGAATGAACTTGTTGTTGGGGCATGAACTTACATGAGCACACATCGTTTTGGCCCCAATCTTTTTCCATCCTGCCCAGGTATTATTTGATCTTCTCTCCTGTTTTGGGCTTTGAATCCGTTTTTTTTTCATTGCGGCTTCCATGACCTTCCTGATCTACTTCCAACGCAGTAGCACTGGATGGACCTTCTATTGGAATCGGCTGCAAGGAACCGTACGATGCTTGGAACAGCAACGGCGCCGCGCCACGACCCGCACGACGTGTCTTTGCCGCTCAGATTGACACCGAAAAATCCACTCAAACATCCCGTGGAGGCCGACTCCTACCTTTTCTGGTGAAAGTCTCTTCTTCAAAGGCCGGTGTGCGGTCATGTCAGTATCTTGTAAGGCTTTAAGCTCTGGTCTTTTTGAGGGCTCAACCCGTCACTCGGTCAGGCGGCAACCCGTTTCAGACCAATTCAGGAGCGACCACGAGGACCACGAGTTGGGGAGCGACGAGCACGGTGTATCGCTCGTTCGCCTTCTGTTGAATTGACTAAATCAATGGTGATTTGAATTCTATCCAATGTATTGATTTAAACTATACGCAGTGCTGTCAGGACATCTATAATTATAGGGACGCGTCCCTGCATCCCTTGTGGTTCACATCATAGTCTCCTTAGACGATAGCGTCACCAGCGAAAAAACGACATGTCCAATGATTTTACCGCAACGGTAGCCGTTTGCAATATCCTTTTCCCATACACTCCATGTAATTATGCCATAGGACTGCCGAGAAACGGCCAGGGGTGGTGGTTGACTGGGGGGTCAATTGATCGGCAGTCCGTCCTGGCAGTCCCAGACGGGTTTGGGTCTTGTTCTCACCCAAAGGCTCATTGGACCCTCATAGCCAGGGTTTTGACCCTCACAGCCAGGGTTTTGGACCTCAAACAGTTTGAGGGTCTATGAGCCTCTGGGCAGAGCAAAAAGTATTGGATCTTCCAATGAATCCTTCGGATCGATCGGCACAGTCTGGATTTGATCTTGACGTGAATCGCTTTTGAAAACCTACAGGAAAACCTACCATATGTTCACAAACAATTAAACACGCACGTGTTTTTTTTGTATAGATTTGTTAAACAAAAAAACAGATCTCTTTTTAGATTGAAGGGAAGCTGGACTTAGATGATGATTTCTGGCACTAAGGATGGTTCATTCTCTTCACTTCGCCTTGCGAGGGCTTCTTGGTGCTCTTCTTCGCTGGCGCGGCGCTTCCTCTCTTGGCGGCCGCCTTGGCTCGATCGCGTGGGAAAAGGGAGGAGTTCTCCTCACCCCAAAACGGGTCACCACCTGCGGCTTTGGAGCCTGCATTTCAGCTGTTGGAGGGACCTGATATGAAAGAAGAACCACATTATGCTTCCCGAGCACCATTGCTTGAAGAGCCCTCGTGAGAAGCGCAAAAACGCACGTCGGACAGATTTTTTCCATTGCAGGGGTCGGTATCAGGCTTTGGGGCGGAATTGGGCACAGCATCGTGTATGATGAGATGCGGTTTTGGGGGGATTCCCGGGTGAAACACAGGACCGATGCTTTGGGTTTCTGGTGTCCCACCTGGTCGATTGAAAACTTGGTCACTCAGTCACCCGGAAACCGAGTCGCCGGACCATCCCTTCAGAGGTCCCGTCATCGACGGACGCTTCCGCCACCGACGGCGGGAAGTAACGGTGTGGACCCGGCGAGGCACCTTCCGGCGGCCGCAAGAATAAGGAGGGATCAAGTAGATCCGCCCTGACCCGGGTTTGAATCACATGCATTTCACATGTCATCAGCCATTTTTCTATGAATCGCATGTGTTCTTCGTCCCAAAACGAGTGTTGTTTTTCTTTTGTGCGCGAGTCGCGCAGCGAGTCGACTCGCGCGGTTCGGCCGGTCGGCGATCGGCACGACGTCCAAGGCCACGCTGGAGGAGGATTTGCCAGTGCCGTGGCCCTCCCTCCGCGTGCTGCCACCGTTCCTAGCTGCCCCTTGGTTCCGGAGTTCCGTTGGTTGGTTCAGTGTGTGGCTATGCGGCTATGTTCTTTTTGGAGGAGGGAAGCTATCATAGAGTCAAACCTGATGCATTGGAACCCGCAGCAGTGTCCAAGTAGCGCTGAGACAGGCTGTTCAGGCGTTGATGCACCGAACTCAGAATATTTCGATCGACATGTAGACATAGTAGACACATGTAGACACAGGTAGACCCGGTAGACCACCCTGTGATTTTTAAGGGATGGGGATTCTGACCCACATCACTCTTCTGTCAAATCTTTTTTGACGATGAGTGATAGCAGGCGTTGGCAGGGGTAGGCTGGATAGGGTCCTTTTGCTTCGGTTGGCCATCGCTAGTAGGTTGAAGCGCATCGCTTGGGAGGCAAGTGGAGCCCGGGCCGCAGTGTTTCCTCCATGTCGCACCCTTCGTGCTCGGGTGATCTGGAGGCTTCACTAACCGGAAATAGCCATTGATCAATACCCAAACACTCTATGGGACTGCCGTATTCACCTACATTGGGGTGGTGCCAGAGGGGTCAATGTAAGCATATATATGACAGACATTGGTCGTGTTCGGGATATGGTTTTGAAGGTTGAGCCAAAGCCGGAGTGTGGGTAACAGGTTTTGGTCTCGGGTCGCTGTTCTTCTCCCCTTAAGTATCCTCCCTTCAACCGGAAGTGGACAACTTTGCTGTTTGGTCAGGTCTCAAATGGTCTTTCCAGGGGACATTGCGGCCATGCTATCCAGTTCCATGATTGCGAGTGTAAGTACCACAGAGACATCTCGGATTTCCGACAGCACCCAGGTCTGGCTGGGTACGGGCTGCTTCGCCTTTAGTGTCTTGCGGCGGCGGCAATGCTCCTCCAGTTGTGCCTTGGCACTCTAGTTCGGGGAGTGATCTTGAAAGCACCCACAGATGTCTGACACGACCGATGTCTGTCATAGATGCTTACATTGACCCCTCAGGCACCACCCCAATGGTATAAGCATATACGGCAGTCTCATGGAGTGTTTGGGCTTGGTTCTCCAGGATTTCTTGGGATGTGACTTGAAAGAACCCTTGCACCCTTCAGTCCGGACCCTGACCCTTCGAACCCTGGTTTGATATCTTCTAAAGTGGGTCAGTCTGACTCTCACTTCTTTTGGGACTGTCATTCGCTCCTGAGACCAGGACGTCACAATTGCGCATCCTTTTCACAGATTTTGGGACATCTGCGGAGGACGACTTGGCCCTATGGAGGGTGCATCAAGAGTCAGAGTATGTCAGAGTCTATATAGCTGCTGCGAGCTTGCTGTGTTCGGGTGCGTTCGCCCGCGGCGTATGGGCATATCCATCTCCACTCCACCGGGGGGGAACCGGAGCGAGGGGGTCTCCCCAAGCCCGACAGCGGGGTCTTTCGTTGGTCTGACCTATAGACGTTTGCTTGGGCCAAACATGCGGTCAGGAACATGTCAGGAAGCTACTCGCTGGTTTGGACAGCGCGACCGGCATGTTCGTTTTGAACACTTGGAAGTGCAGTTCCAACAGACCAGCAGTACGGACCAGCAGACTTCCAACCAGCAGTACGTCGCAGGTCTCATCCTTCAAAACATGTATGGCGCAGCCACCAAAACGAAGACAGCCGGGTCGAGCCCCAAAACGAAGACCCCACGAAATGGATCAGATTCCGGCCCCCAGCCGTGGGTTTTGGATGCCTGACCCTGTTGAGAACCATGGCTTTTACGATTGGACACGAGAAAACCAGGTCTTACCCGAACTCATTTTCGTGGGCTGGCAACCTCCGCAGCATACACCTCCGCGGGCCCCAGGTATCGGTTCTTGCTTGTTTTTGTGGTGTCCTTTGGCGGCCTTCAGTACCCTTCTCTTCAGTCGATTGACTGTTTGGCCCTGGCTCTCGCCCATGGTGATGATGTCACTCGGCTCGAGAGCCATGTTGTTCGTTTCAAGGCCTAAGATTTACCAACCTCCTAGTGATGGCATCCAACCTGATCTCCAACCTAAGTGCAATGGCCTCCAACCCACTAAGATTTACCATCAAATCCATGTTTTGCAACCCTTTTGGGACTGCTTTCGGCGAGTAAAGGTTCAAGCATGCAAGGGGGGTCCGAGACTCTTGGAGAAACAGATCAGATGGATCATGATAGATCATTTGCTGAAATTCTTCAGGGCTCGAAATGAACATACAAGTCCTTCTGAGTCCTCACCTTTTGTTGAAGCGATGACCGTCACCTTTGGAACGGACATCTACTGCCTTAAACCTGAAAGCCCTGAGTCATTTTGGGACACCGGAGGGCTCCTGCCCCAGGTCAAGAGTATGCCTGAAACGTTTGCCTTCGCGAGACCATCATCAAAACGTGGTGTTCTCTGCAAATTGCACTGCGATCCCAAGCAAAGAGATTTTCCAGGTAAGCACATGCCCCCCGAGGAGCTGTTCATTCACCGTCGAACTTCTGTTTGGTGCCATCACTTGCTACCTATTCTCAAAGTCCCTATGCAGATGAGGGTTGTACCTCCAAAGATTTAGTCCTTATCCTGGTATCCTAATTATATACTAATTAGCTGCGCAGGTTGCCACTGCTGTTGGTCACTTGCATGCTGATCTTGTTCTCCAGCTTCCTCACCATCGCCTCCTTTTGGCACCCTGGACGGAATGACGGAATGGGTCAGGGATTGTGAAAAAGACAACAGACTACAAAGAAGAAACAATATACAATATACCATAATTATAAAATATATTCTATAATACTCTGGTTTTTGTCTTTGAGACAAAGAAGTTGGCCGCCTTGGGAAGGAGCAGTGGATTTATACCTGGGAACCTAGTCCCATCCAGAATCAAATGGTTGTTCCAATATGGGTTTCTTGACATCCTTTACATAGGAAGTGGCAGGGACTGGGGAGTTCCATCTCTTTCTGGTTGGAACTAGGTTTCCAGGTAGGTCTTGGTCAACCGTTGTTCCCATGACATCGTTTCCCGCTCAGCGCTGCGGATGGGATGGGGGTGTTTTTCGCGCCACCTACCCATGAAGGTGACAGCACTCCGACGCAAGCCTCACGCGGAGTGAGTTCACCGCCTGTCGGTGGGGTCTTCGGAATCTGTCGGAACATGCGCATTTCTCCATCTTCGGGAAAAGACTCCCACGTCACCATGGTTTCAGATGCTCCATGTGACTATAGAAGATATGCCTACAATGGAGGTGGTTTGGGGGGTCAATGTAGATATGTATATATATATATATGCATCTATGTGGCATACATGGGTGATGGTTTCCGGGAGGGTAGATATACCAGCACCCGACCATCTTTCACAGGTGAGTTGCTGTTAAGGCCCAACCCTCCGACCTGTCGAGTCCAGACTCGTCGTGGACCCGTGGCCTGCGTCGTGCTTGGTCGCAGTGGGGGGGAATTCCACACCCCTGAACAGAGGCCGCAGTGGGATGGCTTGCAAGGGTTCGTTCGTGTCAAAAAGGTGGGTCGATATCTTCCAGCTGCTTCCGTTCGGGGTCACCTGGCTGGATATCTCCACACTACTTACAGGTCTCCAGACAGGGCACCGCTTGGAAGCGCTAGGTACGTTCTTTTTTTTGTGCCTGTTTTTCCTCGTGAAGAATAACAACTCTCCAGGAACAGCACTGCGAAGCCCAAAGTGCCACTCAACCGGAAATGTATATAGTACATCTGAAGGGTACGGGGTGTGTGTTTGCACTTCAGACACTGGGCACTAGGAACTTCCACTTCCTAGAAGCGGCGCTCTCAACTTCTTGTTTTCTTTTCGGTACTGTCGCACTTCATGTTTCTGATGCCCGCAAGACATCTTCTTCCCTGCTTCAGTGGGATAGCGCACATCAAAAGAACTGGCCAGACACAGTGTTGAGATCAGCACACGTTGGATCGATCTGCAGGTTGGGTTGGCGTGGCAGTCGGGATTGGATGGAGTATGCCACCACGACCTTGCTGGCGATCCTCGCTTTCCTCTTGCCGATGCTGACCGTCGAGATCACGCTGGTGTGCTACTTGAAAGGTGGGGATTGGATGCACAAAGGTCACAAGACAAGGAGAAGCCAGGAGACGTTCCTATATATGAATATTCACTTCAAACATATACCTCCTATTTGGGGGAGACATTTCTGCCTATGATCGGCAGGTAAAGGCACCTTTGTTCGTGCAAGTAGGCGTTCTTGTCGTAGGTGTTCTGGTCCTTGGTGGGGCAATGCTATATAAGCAATAAGGATCCAGCCGCTACTGGTAGGCCCTATAGGGGAAGATGCACACCCGACAACCAGAGGCTTGATGTACATTTTAAGTGATATTTTGAAGTGATCAATTTTGTATTCCTATATGTTCATGTTGCATTGTTTGAATACTTTTTGCGTAGGCATTCTTCCATCACTTTGGTGTTCTTGCCTGTTACTTAGGCTTTCGTACCCGTTCCCCCTGACTACAATCAGTGGCTTAAGATGGCTTAAGATAGGCTGGACAAATGAACCGTAGCTACTTTAAACGGGGAGTAGCGTCAAGTGGCAAGTGCTTGTTGTCCTACGCTTTTTGCATTGTAGTTTTAGTCTCTTACACATACTTACCATATTGTGCATTGGCATCCTTGACCATCGAGGCTGCACCTATAGGCGTTCTTGGTGAACATGGTCGAATGTTCTGTACATGAACGTTGACTAAGAACTTGTTGCCTAACGAGTCTAACGAGGGTCTAGGATAGTAAACAGTCTAAGGTTCGCGTGTCACTTCGACTCAGAGCATCCATCATGGCTCCCATCACGGCGTTCCCTCGTTCCCTCGCCACGTTTTGGTGACCTGGCAGGTGCCTGTGCCATCCATTGGGTCTTTGCCCCCTGGACTCTGTGGCTCACAGGACTCAGCTTCTTCGCCTTGTACCAGAGCTGTTTGCCTTTGAAGCCGAATGGCCTCGGCGCTCCTCATCTGGACCGTGCCGTGGCGTAGACCTTCGGATCGACGGTGATCGACGGGGGACAGGCCCGCTGCACGCGCACGTGGCACCACTCGCTGGTCGGTCGCAGCGGTGGAGGCGTCAGGGCGGAGCCATGGTCCCTTCCACAGCGCAGGGCCATGCGATTCGCCCGAAAGAGCGACAACCAGCTTAGCCAAAGAGGGTTTTCGGGATCGATGGGATCGATACGCAGGGACCGGATCGGATGTGCCCACCGTAGCGGTACGGTGATCGGAGCCTTCAAAGAGTCTCCGTCCTCAACTGCTCGACCGTACCCTCAGAGGGTGCCAGTGGAGGGGAAGATGGTGTAACACGATCTTCCAAGTGGGGTCGAGAAACATCTGTCACATTTCGTTCCATCCGGAGTCATGGAAAAAGGAGCCCATCCTACCCCGAACCGAAGTCTTAGGTATTTGATCTATATTTTCTTACGAGCCATCGAACATCGATTTTTCATTGGAGCCATTCGATTTGGGGGTTTGCCCTCACTTGCCCCGTTCTCCAAGGCCTGCCGAACCGCTACCGGCGCCATGATCTTCATTCCGACACGGAGCTTTTGTTGCCACAGCCCTGACGAGCCACCGCTCGGATGCGCTTCGCCCGGTGGCAGACCCCAGACCCTGTGATAGTGTGTTCAACGTCTGCACAAGGCAGCCAAATGCAGCCTTAGAGCCTTTAAGACATTGTAAACGTTCTGAAAAGAACCTTCAACGTACAGATCGAACATGTGGCATGGTGGTGTTGTAGAAGTCAGGAAGCCAGAGATGCATGGTGTTTTTACTCTAACTGTGACGGATTTTGACATGCACATGACTGATTGGTGATGATTTCCCCTGTGATTTAAACATATCAGGTTGAGGTGTCTTCTTTTGTAGGGGCCAGTGGCACAACAGCTCCAGACTCTGTTGCCAGAGTCTTCCTGGGTACTCGGTGAAATACGTTGTACAATTATTGTGCATTCCATGCTCTACCATCTTGGTTATCATGCCGTGCTGCTCCAGTTGTTGTTGAAGATCCATCTGAATCTTCCCAACAAAGGACGTATACCCTCAATCATATGCGGAGTCTCTCTAAGTGCTCTTAGCTATGCTACTTCACCATCCTTTGGGGCGACTCGCAGCGGAAGAAATCCATGTCCTTCTGCTTGGATCGAAGACGTCCTCCGCTCAAGACGGGCGGGAAAACATATGGATGTGGATCGAAGATCTGTTCCACCTGACTTGGCCAACCTGTGCCCCAAAACAAGACTTGCCCGTTCGTGGGCGTCGGCGCCGGCAAAGCAGATCAGCAGGTCAGAGGAAGAACGGACTTCAACATGGGTTCAGTTCCGCTGTACCCATGCAAAAGAGCCTCCAAAAGGTCTGGTGGATTCCAACTCACCTCCGAAATCCCGATGGATCCACCGGTGGGTGTGCGTCGACACACTGGATGTCGGCGAAGTGAGGGTGTCGCCGTACAACATGTCGAAGGTGTTCTTCCCAGCCCCATTTGGCTCAGAAAGGGCCCGACCCGTTCGCGTGGTCCGACCCTAACTAGGCTTTTGGAAGGAAAACATGTTGGCAGTTGCTTCTCAAAAAGGACTCCTTCACCAACGCCCAGAGAATCCATGGGACTGGCATCTTTACATACATTGGGGTGGTTGACCTGGGGTCAATGTAAGCATGGCAGTCCCAGGACCCCCTTAAGACATTTGTATCGTTTGTATGGAATCTCTATAAGTCTGCCCCTTAAGTCGATTGTATTCGGATTGTCCATGAACCACCCGCTGACCACCCAGACGCATCCATGCGCCCGTTCTTCGGCCGAGACACACACCGCTCACGTATGTCCCACCCACCGGTGATCGAGGCCCCATTCCACTGCCTCAGGCCCAGCCTGATGCGCGAGGGCCGCTACCTGGCCAGCTTGGCACAACGCGGAGGTGAAACGATGCGAGGGGACTTGGCCCGAGTTTGAGGACATCGGGGGGTTGGCTGGGGGAAAAGCAGGATGAACTTGGCCCCACCTGATTAACATATTATAAACATATATGCTGACATTATTACCAAAATAATCTAAATTTACAGAGTGAGGAACCATGGTGTTTGCATTATTATACACTAATTAAACACAATCATAGGTCCTTCAGGTCAATCATGTTTCTCAATGGTCGAAGAGAAGGCTAGGGGAGGGAGATGGAAAGGACCAGAGAAGGATCAGAGATCTGAAGACTGAACGAAACTCGTTCTTTGGTGCAAAGTATGTGCAAAGCCCCAAACTCCTGTTCGACCGACACTCGGCCCGGCCATTGGGTGGTTTTTGTGTTTTTTCTCATGTTTGGTGCGAGACTCAAGAGACCCCTGTGAAGTTCCTTGTCTCTCAGTGTGCTTCGTTTATACTGTGAAGTTCCGATGATTGACCGGGTCCTCAGTGAGCGAATCAGTAGTGATCGAATGAATGAGACACCTGCCTGGTTCTCGAAGATGCGTTTGATCTCAGTGACCTGTCGTGCAACTTGACATAACTTGACATGTCATGCAGGATTTGCTTGCCACGTGTTTTGCCCCAGTTCTCAGCACGGCAAGATTTGCTCTATCGTAGCGGGCTCTAAGTGTTCGTCTTGACTTGAACTAATATGAACAACTAATAATAGTCATATAATCTTTCCTGCAGATCTATAGAGATATATCCCGACGACTCCAGTGGTACTCTGACTGGACCCGACAATGGCACCCGCCCCAGTCCCACTTCAGAAGATGGAACCTCTCGGGGTATACCGGACTCGCATCGGTCGAGCCGAAGCGGACGAAGCCTCCAAGGGAGCCCAAGCGGTCGCTGACCGCGGCCACGGTGCAAAGCGCGCGGACCCCCCGCGGGAGTCGGCTGCCGCGGGAGTCCGGCGGAGTCGGCGGAGTCGGCGGAGTCCGGGATTTTCCGTTCGCAGTGCTGAATCAGCACGCGTTGGGGTCCCTTTTCTTTTCGAAAACCAACCGAAGAAAGGGTGGTTTTTTCTTGTTTGGGAAAAGATATGAGAACAGAGGTTTCGGGGCCCGGGTCGACACGACACGCACGCGGCTTTCTGAGCGGTGGGCAGGCTGCATCTGAGTTGAGGAGTTGACCAAGTCGGCAGCGTCTGTTCCGATGACTAAGCGGTTCCGATGATATGAAGACGTGGTTCCAGTGGCTCAGAGTGCAGACAAGTCACTGTACGTATACGTTTTAGTCTTCTTTTTCCTGCAGGTGCGCGCTCGGCGCGCTCTCGTCTGGTGAAAGACCTGTATTGTTTTGGGGGGGGTGCCAGTGGTCTGCCTCAGTTCCCACAGCTCAACATTGATCCACCTCAAAACACGTTCTGCCTTTGGATAGAAGCCATTTCGCTGTTCAACTGAAAGTGAGGAATAGTCAGTGAGTGGCCATGGGAGTTCAAAATGCATGTGTTGCGCTAAAAACGATAACACACTCACCAAAAAGCAAAAGACGATAACATGACGGATGTGAGCAAAAAGCGATAGTGCACTCACGGCAGCTCAACAAACTTTGACCGTCGCTCATACGTCCCGCCAAAACTATGATCGAATCCGAACCCATTTTGGAGGTCTCACCCCAAAAGCTCAACACGTGAGCATTGAACGTAAAGAACTTACCCAAACACTCCATGGGACTGGCATATTTACATACACTGACCCTGAAACCACCCCAATGTAGGTAAATATGGCATACATGGAGTGTTTGGGTTAAACAATGCGGACCTCTAGGCTTCCAGAGGGTGGGAGAGGTCATTTCGCCCTAAGGCTGGATGGAAGAGACTGCAGAAGGTCGCCAGGCCCCGGCTGTGCGGATTGTGTCCAGGATCAAAAAGCACCAGGTGTGTTTTGAAGAAAAACAGTGAAAGAGGGTGTGAACATGGGGGGAGACTTGATATGACTTGATGGGGTTTCAATGCATTTTTGCTCGATCTTTGGGGTTGAATTGAGAAAATCCGAGGAAATCTAAGACACACCCAACAGATAAAATTGAACATCAAGCCAAGAGCCGCGGGCCAAATCTGGTTTATGAGAGAATCTTGATGAATCTTGCAGTTGCACACTGTGATGCTGCACTCCTCTTAGCTAGCACCTCCTGGTTTGGAATATGTGTTCTTTCCTTACCTGCATGGTCAGAGCTTTATTCGTCTAGTTTCTTGAAGCAGCAAAACCATGCAACACCTTTTGACCCATTTCACACGCCCAAGGCTTTACTATTTTACTGTATACCTTAGCTGGCTATCAGCTGGCTGATCTTCCCGCTCCCACGACCTCCTCCTTTCAATGAAAACAACCAGTTGTGGAAGCCGCAGCCGAAAGCGAATGGAGCAAACAACAAGTCATCCATCCATGTGCTTCGGATCCCTTTAAAGAAACACAATACTTCCATTGCGGATGTTTTTTTTTTCTTAAGGTCATGCATGTTTGGTTGCGTGAAACAGCAGGTCCGGTCCAGGGCAACAACAATCGAGGGATTTTAAAGATGCTTTCAGGGTCAATGTAGGTACATATTCCACATATCCCAGACACTCCATGTATGGCATATATGCCGCCCCATTGACCCCTGGAACCACCCCTGGCCTGATCGGCAAATATGGCAGTCCCATTAGTCGTGTCTGGGTATACATATTCCATAGGACCCCATTTCAACCCCAACTGTTTGGGAGTCATATTCCAGTCCTGTGAATGGTCATGGGTTTGGCCGCACCTCTGTGCCTCTTCGTGGCGTTTTCCAGGCCTCGCGGCTGGCGAAAGTCTATGCGGCAGTTGGACTTTGCGGGTGCCCTCGCCCGCGCGGAACGCGAAAGAAATCGATTGAAATGGGGTTCGGGACATGTGGGAATGGGTCAAAACCTGTTTCAACCTGTAGCGGCGAAAGAAGCGTGACCTACGGAGACCTCAAGCCTTTGGGAGACCCTGAAACCCGTGATCGGAAAAAGACACGGAACACAGCCAGGCACCGATTCGCGTCTCTGCCTTGCCAACTCGTCCCCCCCGTCCAACGGGTTTCTTCTTTCATGGTCCAACACCGCCATCGTGTCGCGCTCGTGGCGAACATTCCAGGCCCCTTTCAAGGCGAAGATATCAATTTCTTTGAGTTCCTCTATCTGATGATGCCGCTTGGTGGAGCCTTCGACGTCCACGTGGAACGCGGTGCGTGTGGACCGGAGCTTTTGGTTTCAGCTCGGGCTGGGACGAAGACCTTGGAGCACCTCATCTTATTTTATAGGGCTTAGTCATAAGGGAATGAGCTCCCAATAGAAATTCCTCATTCCATCTCATTCCCTGATCTGGCACAAGTCAGTACATGTTGCAGGGTCTTGGAGACTCTTGGGTTCAGGAGGAGCACCATTTTCTTCGTGGTTGGTGGGTGTTCCCAACGTTTTTCATCACCTTGTGGTCTGCTCAGACATTATACACATTCAGACGATGCATGGGAAACAGTTGCCGACATGCATGAATCATACATGGTAGGGGGCTATGGGTGCCTGGAAACCCAGTCCCAAGCAGGAATCGTCCGGCTGGGACGAGGTTTTGGAGCGATGTAAACTCTTCGGGACTCGGACCTGACGGCCCTTGGAGCCCTGCAGAGTCCGGTTCTGGGTCCGTCGCCAGCTTCTGTGAGCGTTTTTGCAGCACAAAAGGCATGTTCGGAGCAGGTTCCGCCTGTTTAAGGGGTGCGAAAAACACCGAATCCAATCTCAGTCGAGATCCTTCAGCATCTCCCTTTCACCCACCCAACTTGGAGGTCGGACCAAA